AAAAAAATTGGCCAATCAGAAAACTGCGGGGACCTTTTCTCTCTCTCTCTGGGACAGGCAGTTTGTATGGGGAGAGAAGGCACGATATAAAGAAAGGGCGCAGAAAGGTGTCTGCGGGAAAAGTTATCTCTACCAGATTGGACTAATAATCTCTCTTTTCCCTCGGGGGTTGAGAAAATATTATAAGCGCAATTCGATAGCAGTACCTCTGGCATGACTCATACTTGAAACAGAGTCGCTAACTTGTTATCTTGTGTTCTTCAGGGTGATACGACAATGGCTTCACACGTTCAGCCGTTATGCCCTACCCACGTTACGTAAAAGCAAAGGACAGGGTATATATCGGGCAGTGCTCATCGCTTTCCATGTGACAAAACCGTGTCGTGGTCATCGATGGAAGCGGTTTATGAAACATGGAAAGAAGCGACCAGCCACGTAGAAAAACTCACCAGAAATAGTAAACTAGATGCTCAAAATCTCCTGAGAGGACGCAGCGCATTGGTGGTCCTACACTGCATTCCATGTGTCGGTGTAAGAAACTGACCCTCGATCCGAAATTGGTGCTTCTTGACAGCCGGCCGGTCGGCACAACAGCGAGTGGCATGCTGCAAGACGTTCATTCTCAACGTTGTGTAGAACAAGCAAAGTCTAACAAGGAACAAGATATGTACGGAGCGCAAGCGTACGGGTAGACACAAAACGCTCATACTCCCAGTGTATGACTGCCAACGTCCACGATTGCTACACCAGACTCTCGTGGGCTAGACCGGCGAGAGGTATCTACTGGGCGAGGAGGCATCCCCGGGAGACAATCTCCTACAGACGACAGGAAAAGCAATACCAGGGCTTCCACTCCTCAGCCAGCGTGGGCACAACGCGCGCATGCTAAGCGGTCCCAATGTGGATCCCCCCCCCCTCGCCCAATGTTTGATGTGTGCCCAGTTTGTAGGCAGAAACAGGCAGCGAAATCACTCCTGCAAATCAGCGCCGGGGTTCGCTGGGGTGTTTACTCATTTGCAAGTAGCCACGGCCTGCGCGCTAGGTACAATAGTCCAGACCGGCGCTTGACAAAAGAAGGCCTGTAAAGCGTACAGTACAACATATATACCTCGTACAGAATACGTTCCTGTGTACATTTCACGAGTTTCCTCATCCTTGCGCTCGCGTTCTATTTACTTTCTGCATCAACCAACACAGCTGGCTGCTTCAAACAGTCTCCTCCGAGATCCATGCGCCGTGTTGTTGCTTGGCGTCTGGTTGTCATGACCACCGTGTGCGTGCTTGCTCTCCCCTGTAGCTGTCTGGGGTCGGTACACGCCGGGGTAGGCTCACACCCGTCTGATGGCCGCGTCAGGCCGCGATAGTCACGACGACCTTGCCGTGGGCGTGCTTGCTTCCTTGCAGCTTGAAGGCGGCCTTGACGCCGTCGGCGGTGAACGGAAACGGAGACGCCGGGTCGAGCACGGGCTTAAACCGACCCGTGGTCACCAGCTCGACCATGTCGGCGATATCCTGCGCGGTGGGCTCGGAGATCACGAGCTTGTAGCGCGGCCGGAGGCGGTTGATTAGTGTCCAGCCCGAGCGCCAAAGTTGGGGTACGAACATCTTCGTCACCTGAAACGGCGAGGGAAACGGGTTTGGGGCGGGTTGACCTCGGTCGCTCTATGGAAGATGTTGACTTGTTTCAATTTGCGAAATGTTGATTGACATCGACGGCGAGGCAGAACGCGCCCATAGACGGTGTACTAAGTAGTATACAGGGGCAGCGGTTTGTTGTGCAGTTATCAAGGTGTGCTCATGCCATCCATGAGGTCATCCAGAGCAAGCATCCTCATCCGAGTGGCTTGCCATACAAGCGCCTCTGGATCAGATAGGCTAGGGCAGCTGCAGCAGCATCAACAACGACAGCAACGCCGAGAAATGTACAACGGAAACCTTACCTGCCAGACACTGTGAATCTGAGGATCGTCGGTAGATGCGACGCTAATGTACCGGCCTCCGTTCCAGCCAGACTTGAGAACCCCCCTCCGATAAGCCTCTTTCCACTCGTCCCGCCATCCCACGCAGTCGATCACCACATCGAAGGGCTCGGCCTTGTACCTTTCGTCCTCGTACCTGCGAAGATGGGTCCAGTCCTGCGGTGTCGAACCCCTGACGTAGTGGCACACCTCTGGTGACAACGCTACATATTGGCGCTATTTAATACGTACAAATAATCACTCATTGTTGGGAGTTGCTGAAAGAGGTGTGTGGTATTGTTATTGTCGGTGACNACCTCTGGTGACAACGCTACATATTGGCGCTATTTAATACGTACAAATAATCACTCATTGTTGGGAGTTGCTGAAAGAGGTGTGTGGTATTGTTATTGTCGGTGACCCTGTTTCACGGAGATCTCTGCCCCCCCCCCCCGTCGACCCCTCCACCACAAACTTGGGCAGCAAGGCACAAAGGGCAGGTCCGTTTACGAAAGAAGCCTCGCCCATTTTGGAAGTTCTCGCGATCAACCGTTTTGCAGATTTAATTATTGCGAGCCCACACTCGAACTGTAACTCCTCCTATGCATCGCAACAAATACGAAACAGAACAGCCAAAATATATCAACAATAAAGAACGACTACGTGGAAGGGGATACGGAGTCGAGATCTGAATCACCAACGTTGAACTCATAGGACGGGATCTCGCAATGGTCCTGGGGGCCAATGAGGCTTACCAATTAGTCTCGCGGTAGTTGACAACGACATCGGCGCCCAGAGATAGGCACAGGGCTTCGGCGGTGGAGGTGGTTGCCAAAAATGACGCCTGTTGTTGGGGGGACAAGTGACACGCAAGGTTACGCTGCTCATCGTTGTCTGTCTTACAGTGATGCAAACAAGAAGGAAGAACTAAATCACGCACGCACACGTCACCACCCATGGTAGCTAAGATTGGCGTCCTTTCATGGACCAGCCAGTCTAAGCGGTCGACGCAAGCAATGAACACTCTCGTAAATCCGGGCTTCTCGTAGTACCCAGTTCTATGAACTCACCGTCTCATGGTCGGCTCAAGCCAATCTTTCACTGCGAAGCCCCGGCATTGCTGTTAAATATTCCCTCTTCGTTATATTTTCCCGAAGCCGATACATCTACTCGAGGTCTAAAGCACGCATGTTGTCGTTCACAAGCAAACACGCACCTTGGCGTCTTTGACGAGCTGCAATAGCGCCGAGCCGACGCCGCCGCTGCCTCCAAGTACCATCACCCGGTCCCCCTCTTTCAGTTTCGCCGCCTACCATGATTACGGTAACAGGAGGCAAAAGGATCACCGAACAACCCATCACTTCGACAACTTCTTTGGGTGTTTTGATGAGCGTGTCGTCTCTGAAAGTAACATCACTGTTGCAACCCTAACCTTGGTGGTTTCGTCAGGCTCGAGGGGATGAATCCCACGTACACTAAAGCAGTCAGCGCTGACTACTTTGGGCGAGGGCATATCCCCTCAAGGCGCTGGTACCAATGAAAGTGGCAGACACCAAAGAGAGAGAGAGAGAGAGAGACTATAGGAGTCCGCACCATTTTGGGGGATATTAGCCCCTCACACCTCACGGGCTTTGAATAATTCCACAACAGTGCGGGAGTGTGAAACCGAAAAACAAAGCAGAGCATCACCGATCAAACCTTAGCCGCGTGGAGGCCGGCGATGGGACTATTGGGCAGCACCGCGGCCTGAACCGGGGTGACGTTAGCTGGTGCTTTTGCGGCGTTATTGGTCTGAACGACGGCGTACTCGGCCAGGCCCCCTGTAGGAGTCATCCCGTTCGTCGCCACGACGCGGTCCCCCACCTGGAGAAAATTTTTACGGCAAAGGGCACTGGGTTAGGGGGGGCGTCTCGTCCTTTTTGCTGTTCCGGTCCGCGACGATGCGGGCTCCACGCACAAAAGCCGCGGTGCATCTCAATTTTCGCGACCTCACGACTCACACACGTCTCATCACCGAAGCGAGCGTAGGCGTAGCGGTGGGGTCGTAGACTGTCCCCGATGGTTGTATGTAGTTTGGTTTTTCTGCTTCTGTGGATGGATATTGTTTCAACAGGGGCAAGGGGGAGAAAAATCGAAAAACGGAAAAGTGGATGGTACTTGACACGTCCTGGTGGGATGATAGACTATAGTTGTTGGACCGGTACCAATCCAAAACCTGCATGTTGGTTCTTTATCTAATGCAGATAATTCCGCCCGAAAGAGGGCAGGAAAAGAGACACGCGTGGAGAAAACTGCACAACCCCAAACCGAGAAAGAAAAACAACGGAGGAAAAAAACACAAGTGATATGATGCGTTCACAACAATTGAACTCAAGTCAAGAAGGACGACCACGGAGAGGAAAGTATCGAAACACGCCTACTAGGAACAAGACGTGCCCGCCCTCTTTCCTGAGCTATATAGCGGGCATAGTCCCTGCCTCCCGTTGCTGTCTCTGAGCGTGTTAGGGAGACGATTGCGGTGAGAGCGACGCACCCTTCCTCACTCCACCTAGTTTTTTGATCAGTCAATATATTATAAAGCAAATTGCCTTAGGAGACCAAAATTCCCTGGTCGCCATGTGATGTCATCCACGGCGGGATCACTTTTTTTCTAGAATGAGCCACTGTTTATTCGCCCTCGGCTCGTTTCGTGCTACCTCTATGGGGGCGACCCAACATAGACTTCTAGGTTTTCATGTAGAACTCTTAGCTGAGTGCCCGCTCTTACAGTCAATTTATCATATGCACCTCTATTTGGGCATGGACTTGTCATGTAGAACGATTAGCTAGACACCTGTTCTTACCTCCGAATGATCGCATGTATCTCACTTTAGGCATGAACTTCTCATGTTGCTACCCGGTCCAACGTGTTGATGCTTTCAGTACGCGAGGGAAACGAGTGGCTCAATGGGCACACGGAGCAGAGCTTGCGACACATCGCAACAGCATAGGCCACGCTGCCAGACAGGGCGTGCTGCATCCTCTAACGTGCCCAGGTTGTCACATATTTCGTGAGAAACGCTCTCTCGTTGGCACACGCTAGTTTCCGTGCGAGTGAAGTGCCTAGTACACTCGCCCCAACAATCTGTTCCAATCCTTTCGAGGAGTTCCGTGAAACGTACCTTGAACGCTTCTGAGTTTTCTGCAACCTCCTCCACCACCCCGCAGATGTCCATGCCCGGTACAAACGGGAGCTTCGGGTTCAGCATCTGCCACGAAGATGAAAGAACAACGGTTGAGTGATTGAGAGCCTGGTCACTCACTCGGTTCAGCAGCGCTAAGTCCCGGTCGGTCTTCGTGATTCATTTGAGTACGGGCGGTAAAGAGATGTGTCAAAGGCTTTGCGCCGTTTCGAAGGCTGGTTCGACTGGTCCAAACTCTGAGTCGGCAAGCATTCGACAGAGAGGTACAAACGCCAAAAAATCGACTTGGCAACAAATATCCCAACCAACGCAAGGTTTGACGGCGTTCTCAGTTGTAACCCGATTCAGTCAACCAAGCCAGTGAACGCGGCTGCAATGTTGCATGTCGCCACTACGAACATGAGACAAGACAGCTGCACCCCATTTCCATCCCGTACCAGATCGCAACTTCCTTCCAACATGATGCTGTCCCCCCGGCTGAGCGAACACGCCTCCACCTTGACGATCATGGCCTTGCCTTTGCCTTTCTGGACCCCTTCCAAGCTCGGCTTCGGGGCGTCCGACATGCTCAGGACCTGTCGCGCAACGTGTTCGTGTAGCAACGGCAGTGCAGCAGCGCGGAGCAGATACCGTTCGGAAACAAATACCCCATGACTGGCATGCGGCACGATTCCGTAGAGGGTAGGAGAAGCAGTACCAGCAGTATCTCACAACAAAAACGATAACCTCGCCAAGCTCGACGTGTGTCTGTAGTGGAGCGGCTTTTGTTTTCGGACAGGGCTCGGGGGGGGGAGGGGAGGACGGCAGGGAGGGCTGTTGGATGCGTGTGGACCACGCACACACGGCCGAGGCGGACGCGACCGCCGTGAAAGTAAACAAAAAATGCATACACACATGGAATATAAAATACACTTCTTGCAGGGCCCTGGGTGAGCTGCGCCTATGAAATTCCAATCAACCAGATAAAGGTAGGATGGCCTGCCCGAAGGAAAGCTGCAGATGGCAGTTCTCGTGAACCACCCTGTGCCACCGCTCTTCTATCTATCCTGTTGCGATGCACCAACTATTCGTTTAGTAACCGGTATCCATGGAACAGCAGTAGGGACTGAAGTAGAATGCCACATTTTGGCAGACATGAACCACAAACAAAAATAAGGAACTCGCCTCGTCGATGTTGCCACCTAGGGCGCTGCATTCGATGCACTTCATGGCGGTAGTGACGGCGGTGGCAGCCGAGAGCTGGCAAATATATCCCCTCTTGAGCGATGAAGAACCTGCTAAGAAGAAGTAATCGCAGGTGCAACAAGAGAGGTTTAAGGCGGCACAATTTCAGCTTTTCCTCACGACTGGGCAGCGAAAGGACAGTTTTTCTGTGTTGGCATGCATATATGTTCGGGAACCTGCGTCGCACTTTTCGGCATATGGCGATGCAGAGAGGTCCACGTATCTCACGTCTTGTCAACACAACCATCCCATTCAAGATTCGATTACTTTTTCATGCGGCCAGCTGAAGAAACCGAGGGGCCTCGAGCATAGACACTGCTGTCACATACATGTGGGCACCCCACCCCACCGTTGCCCTCGGGAACATTTTTTTTCGCGACTCAATGCATATGAATGCTCACGTGGCAGATACTCTTGTACGTGGGTTGTGATGAGGAAACAGTCACTTTGGCGATGACGCAAATTATTCAACAGTAGCTAACAATGCATGTTGGCCAACCGACGAAAAGAAAATCTGCTGACATACCGAAGATGTTTTGTTCCCAGAGCCGTTGAGGCAGGAGCGGTGCCGAATGTGCAGTAGTGATACCTGATCCAGTAAACTATGAGCTAAACTTTAAACGAAAGGGAGACATGGCTTGGTGCATGGCTGTTGGTGCTGGGCTTGAGAACTACTCCGCATGTATGTGTCGTAAGTGAAATTGCACAATAACAACATGCCCGGAGGTGGCGACTCTCAACTTTACAGTGGCTGATATCCGTGTTTAGTCCCAAAAGCCTTGACAGGCGCTACGTGTTGTGTTAGGTTGCAGAATAGGGGCGGCCCGAGAGGTTGAAGGCTCGACCCGGCGAGTGGTATCTGACATTGATTTGGTCAACCAAAGGTTTTCAGGCATATATGTTTCGACTTGAAACGGGTGACTGACGCCCCCATTTTGTCAGTCCGTCTAAGAGGGATGTGTACATCACGCCGCATTCCTAAGCCGCACAAAATGTGTAACCGCACGGAACGTACGGTGGACAAGTCCACAGGAAGTACCGTCTTCACAGGCCGAACGCGAGGGTTCGGGGAATAGAGGGAGAAGAAGCCAGGGTCGGGCTGAGAGTCAAATTTCAGTTGGGCTGTAGTGTACGCATACTGATGCTTGTCCCAACTTGTCCCAACAAGTTTCAGACGCACTAACAAGCTCTCTGTTCTGCGACATTAGAGTAAACCGGCCAATTAACGAACGCTTAAGCCACCCCTCGCGCCAACAGCTCGTTCTCGGGCATGAAGAGGAGTATGATGTATTTGTGGGTACCGGACGATAGCTTGTATTATAGGCTACCTCCCTAAAAAAAAAAAAAAAAAAAAAACGTTCGTGTCAACGAGATAGAGCTGATGCAGTGCATTCCATTGTTTAGCTGAAAATGCAGGAAAACACCCCCCCCCCCAATTAACGAACACTTTAGCTTTGTAGCTGCTTTCGTGCGTTCTGAAGCGTTTCATGATCTGATTTTTTGTGGAGATACGTCTGTCGCAACATATATCCGTTTAGGAAAAAAAAAAATGGAATCGATCCACTCCCGGGGACAATATCCTCACATCCCCGGGTTTTCCGCCTGAAATCGGGGACGGATTTTACCCCATTTTTGACCGTACGGCGGTGCTGCACACATGAAAAGAGCCAAAACTAAGAGATTATTGCACAGTGGGTCTAATCTGATCATATACAGACTCAAGAAAAAAAAATTAGGACGAAAAACTTCGCGCATGTGATGTAATGCCCGTTCAAACAGGCACCCCTTGACCCGGCCGCTACCGCTATAATTCTCCGCAAGAACCCCAAGGCCATTTCCCTTTTTTCACAGTCATCTTACATTCCCACAAGACGCCCTTTGGTGTGTAGGTTTGTTTTATCACAAGAAACGCTGTTGCAAAAAAAAAAAAAAATCATGCATGCCCGGGGACAAAATTACCATATCCCCGGGTTTCCCGGTATCAACCCCCCCGCCCCCCCCGCGCTGCTGGGGTGCACCCTAACCATCTCCACATGCCCCCACAAACCACCTAATCTTCTGCTTTACTCGTATAGTCTAATTCATCCACCGCCTAGACAATAGTAGCCCAGAAAAACAACAACAACCGCAAAGCATCTGCCCTGGTCTAAACATCAACGATTGGTGTCGGGATCCGCTGCCGTCCTCGGGAAGAAATGGGAGCCGCCGACGGCGGCGGGTGAACCAAGGGAACCGCCGCCCCTCTCGGCCGTCCCGCTCCTCCTTGGACGGGAGCACCTCTCCCCTCGTCCCCCCCCCGCCCTCCCGCCCCCATTTGCTCTCCACGAGCACCAGTGGTGCGGTCCTGGCCACCCTGTCCTCTGCCACGCCCCTCTCGCCCACCGCCACCGCGCCCCCTGATCGCCGTCCGCGTCCCGCTTAGCTCAACCCTCACGCTCCTCTCTCCCCGCCCTCCGTCCTGTTCCCCGCCCCGTCCTTCGCCACGCCCCCCGCTCCGCCCTCCACCTCTCCCACCCTCGCGCCCTCCACCTCTCCCCCCCTCTCGCCCGCCGCCCCGCCCGAAGCCCCGCCCGCCGCCCCGCCCGCCGCCCCGCCCGCCGCCCTGCCCGCCGCCCCGCCCACCAACTGCTCCAGATTGTTGGTTGGCCTCCTTCGTTGCCCTTGCCTCCGCGCGTGCCGCCTTTGCTTCCTCAGCTGCCTGCTTCGCTTCTTGGTCCTTCTTGGCCTGAGCAAGATGTTCTTCGGCGGACAGCAGACCACCTTCGGGCTTCCCCCCCCCCGCCCGAACGGTCGCGAAAGCCTTGGTGCGCTTGGTGAGGCGGGTGAGCCCGCCAAGGAACACGGTGTTGACACGGAGCCCCTCGATCATCAGCCCGTGTCTTTTCAGCTCCAGGAGGGCAGCGCGGCCGAGGTCTCGCTCGAGTTGATCCTTAGAGGCAACCACGGCGAGGTCTTCACGAATAGGGCGGTCATGGTCCCGTTGCTTCCTCTTGCTGTGTAGTCTGTTGATAGCTTTCTCCATGCTCACCGGCCACAAGCCCGACCCTTTGAACGCCGCCTTGTTGTTCTCAGGCGTGAAGCTCCCTGCCCATGCCTCCGCAATCACGCCAGCCATGTCGCGCTTCACCGGACTCCTCCCCCCGTTCTTTAGCGGGTAGGCCGTGAGCACCTTGGTGATCTCCATCTTGAAGGTTCCGAACGTACCGACGTCCAAGGGCTGGGTGATGTGCGATGTGTGGGATGGAAGCTGGAATAGGTCCATGTCCAGGGAGATGCCCAAGCTGATGGCGTCGAAGGTCGTGTGTGAGGCGTGGCCGTCGAGCACAAGGGCAGCTTTGCCCAGCAAGCCGCGCGCATCGAGCTGCTTGCGGAGGTCTCGAAGGTAGTCCAGGAAGACGTGGCTCTGGATGAAGGATGACTCCGTGACGGTGTACTTCGCATCGGGGACGCCGTTGTTGTCCTGGATCCAAGCGGGTTGCATACGCTGGCCTTTGAAGATGATGGTAGGGTGGAACGTGTGGCCGTCGGCACCGATGGTGGCGACCACCGTCGTATTTTCTCGCGAATTGGAACGCCTCGCGCCGGGTACCTTGGTGCCTCTTGCGACGATTGCCTTCCCCGACTTTGTACCTTGAGGGGTCGAACCTACAACACGCGCGCATCGGGGGTAAAGACAGTTGAACAATCAGTAAACTAGACACACAAAAAACGCGCGTACAAACACACATGGGTGCTGCTCGCTCCGGGTGGTGGCACACAGCAGTGGTGAAGGCCATTTTTTGTGCGGCAAGTGTCGGATTCGTTTAAACTTTGGGTGCGAAACAATAACCCCACACCCATGGCAGTTTGCATTGAGCTCCAAACGTAGGTGGGTTTACAAAAACAAAGCGTTCTACTGAAGTCTCGACGTGACTAGACTAGTCTGCACTTCGCGCGTCGTTCAGCAACACACATGCATTTTGCAGACCAAGAACACACGCCCGCTGTTGCCGGTAGCATCACAACAGAAAACGATGTACACATGCAATCATGCGGCAGAGTGCAACTGAGATGACCACAGGGACTGTTACATGCTAACCTCAGCCGACTCCAGCAGCAAACATGCGGGCGTGTTGTGTGCTACGCGCATGACAAGCAGCAACGGCTCGGAAGATATGCGGGACAACTGCTGGATCTTTTTTTTTTGCAGCAGCAGAACTCCGCGTTGTTGTGACACATCGCAGTGCTGCTGGTACTTCGCCTACGAACCCACAGCAGTCGATACTGACACCGCTGACACCCAATGACACCTACTGACACCTCAACCCTTGCCCTAACTCACTTGTCTCATCCGTGTTGAGGATGCGTTCCGGCGGGAGCTTGGTCTCCTCCAGGTACTCCGCCCATGCTTTGTAGAAAGCTTGAAGGCGAGGCTCGCCGTCTTCGTTAATCCGGTTTGCTTCGTAGATGTGGGTGGCTCGCTCCGACAAACCCGGGTGTCTCGCCATAAACCCCTCAAGCCAGCTGTCCCCAGGGCCCTTGTCTGGGTCCCAGGGCACCTTGCGCCCGTCGGTGCAGATGTTGCGCACAGCGTCTCTCAGCTCCCTCCGACCCAACAGCAAGAAGTGTCGGGAGGCGTAGATCAAGACGTCTTCTACGAAATCTTCCTCCTCCTTGCTCAGGACAGTCCCGGGACCAACCCTCGCATCTATGGCCACCTTGTTCTTCACACGGTCGTGCAGCGAGGCTAGCGGTAACCCGTAGGTCCTCGCAGCAACGCGGAGCGACATCTCACCGCTGCGTACCGCATCTACAGCCTTCTGGGCCTGCTCTGGGTCTACTCTCTTACGTCCCATGCTTAGCAGCAGGACCCCGAAAAGGGCAAAGATGCCCCACATAAGGGGTGTGGGTGAGGGCTGTGCTGTATCTCGGGAGTGCTTGACCCGATCGACACGCGGAGGTGCTCAAACGAAAGCTAACGGAAAGCTGAAGATTTCAAAAAAAAATTGGGGGGCTCCGCGCATTGTGCGCCGAGGGACGTGCATTTGAAAAAAGTGTTCGTTAAAGGGGGGGTGTTCGTTAATACCCTGGTTTACTCTAATGAGCACTCGCGACTATATCAGGACAGAATTATCCTGATCAGTGAAAGCAAATTCAAAGATAAAAAGAAGCATGCCTCCCCTGGGGTGTTCCAAGGTTAAGCAGCAAAACCAGCTTGTCGGCACCGCCTACTGGCTGCGGTACGTATCGACGGACGGCGCGATTTACGGTTTACTTTTATGCCGCAAGATATGAGTTCAGTCAAGTCAAACTGGCTCCAAATAGGAAGTTGAACATGCTGTGCTTCACATTCATCGATTGACCAGAATTGTGTGATCGTATGAACCACCAAGGGCGTAAGCCGTTCGCAGATTACGTCGGTCTGAAAAACACCTCGTGATGCACCGCTTTCCACAGTCTACACCGCCAATATGGAGAGGTGAACTGGTGGGGAATAGACCGCGCGCTCAGTCTCGCTGGGGTGCCTTTGGAGTTGCGACATTTCGGCGAAAGAACATATTTTTCGTGGTTCCGCCGCGTTTCGGTGACCCTGAAGACCTGAAGACTCGTGGGGAGAAATCGAGGTGGAGCAGCACGGGAGGTCGACTGATGGAGGAAGCTCCCTGTACTCCCGAAAAATCAGGCTGGTATGCGTCGTTCGGTTGCACGCAGTCCCCCCCCTCTGTCGCTAGAGAGAGGATCTTAGGGGCAATACTGCTGTGAGTCCGAGCTGGGACAAGCAAGAAGAGTTTTTCTCGTTTTCCCGCCCGCTCTCTATTGCCGAACTACAGAGCAGCTGCTGTACCTTCGAAGTATCGCACTACTGGGTAGCTGCTGTTGCCACTGCTGTGTGCTGACGCATCATGGCAAATGCGCTCACCAAGCAAGGTGACTCTGGGCAAGCTCCATCTGTTACAGTATCGGGCGGTGAAAAAAACAGTCTCCCATGGTCTACAACTGCCATGCAAGTGCATACATTACATCATGAGTACGTTCCGGTGTTTGCCGTACCTCGTGCGCTTGAGTAGCGTGCCTTGGAAGGTGCAGCGGTAGATGAGCGCGAATAGGTGACAGGCTGATCGCGTACAAGTTGACCTCGGGTTTAACGTAGGCACCGGGTTACAGCTAAATATTGTGTGGTGTGGAGCGTGGACAGGTAGGTGGATAAACAAAAAATGCCGACCAGCCAAAACAGGGTTCCTACGGGTATCCGAACGTTCCTCGGTTCGTTCCCCATAGGTTTCTCCAAAACAGGGTTCCTACGGGTATCCGAACGTTCCTCGGTTCGTTCCCCATAGGATTTTCCGCAACGACCGGTGCGTGGATGCACCCTACAACTTGAACGTCAACATAGGGCAGCATATCCGCCTTCCTCCACGTAAAACGCGGATATTCTCCGAACACGCCGCCCCTGCCCCCATCAAAAGCCAACGAAGCCAAATAGGCTTTGGATCAATCTCTTTCGCGAAAGTGGCTGGACGGCAGACAGACGGAAAAAAAAAAAAAACGAAGTACTTTGTACAAATTGATGTACATCAAGATCTGGTCTACGTTCCGCAGACCGCCTGTGTGTTGGTTCACACCCCTGCCGTTCCTGCCAAGGTTGTTGTACGTCCGCATACTTCATGCACACACACTTACACACAGAGGTAGAGAGATGCCCGGATCCCTCACCACTAACGTGCCGTGCAATGCCATACAAAGCGCGCCACCACTGCGTAGACTAAACATAAAAACACCACACGAATCACGACGCTCTGCCACCACTCAAAAAATTTTGCTCGACTCCACCACCCATACCTCGTTGAACATGAGCCGAACATGCTGCAGGCCGTGCAACGGCACCCTGCAGACCTACAGTCTTATGCTGATTATCCCGCGTTCCATCACAAGATCAGTTGGATCGTTTTTCTATCCCGGAAATATGCAAGACCCCAAGGCGAGGTCCACCTATATAAATGGAAAATGTTACAGGGGCCTAATCCACACAATCAGTTAGATGGATAACGTAGCAGATCACACCACAGACAGAGACGAATTACTACGTGTGACGTGTGTGTATCCTTTGGTACACTAATGGACAGTAATAGTCTATTCTCCATCCAGAAGCAACCCGAAGTGATACCAAAACCACCACCACCCCAGTGCTCACGCACGAGAGTGGCTGCCGGTGAGAATTTTCATTGAAAACTCCACAGTAAGACACTGGACGGCGAAACACGTGTGGTCGCACTGAGCTTGTACTTACGATCAGAAAAACTCCTTCACCTGCGGTTCCGCGTCCTCAGTCATCCCCACATTACTACAGTAGTAGTCATCGCCGCAATAATCGATATCACCCCCACATCCGAAATATAGACTAGACTGTTCACAAGTGTAGCCCGAATCTCCGGGAGAGCACGTAGTTCCCGTGGGCACGGCACGGTTGTTTGTTGTTGTTGTTTCTCACATTAGCTCTATAGTCCACAAAAAATGGGAAGCCCGTGGCCTCAAAACCCGGCACATACGACGCCGCGGGGAGACAAAACAAGAATAGGGTACAAACCACTCGGAAGAAGAAAACAAAATGATAGAAGGAAAAGAACAGGTATCGCACCGACCGTTCGAGAAAAGAGCCCTCGGAAACCGATCAAAATTATACAAAAACAAAAATAAAGGAGGACGCTTCCCACACCCGCCCAAAGAAAAAATCAAAGGGTAAACGTACCAGCACCAGGCACTACGCACCAGGGCATGGGAGTAACGGAGCAAACAGGACCAAGAGGCGGCAGATGGGCAGACAGCCAAACGTACAAAAACAAAGGCAACAGCAAAGCGAGATCAAGGTACCCAACACAGCAGAGTAGGCAGGGAGGTCACAGAGGCCAAAGGCAATACAAAGGACATACATAAAGGAGTATAGCATACAGCAGGGAGGGAAACAGAGCGCAACAACATCAGCCGGGTACATAGTTCGCCACAAGAGCTGCTTCGGCCGCCCTACTCGCTTCTACACCCTTGCCCGGGCGCCGTTTCTTCCCCCCCACCGCCGCGTCCCCGGCTCTCTTCCTCTTCGGTCCTGAGATGGACGTACTCTCTGCTTCTGCTTCCCTCGCGCGCTGGCGCTTCGCGGACGTTTCCGCCTCCTGCCTGTGCCATTTCCTCATGAACCATGCCGCCCCGTCCTCGACCTTGTTGTACCACACCTCCGGGTCCTTGGCGCTCTCTTTCCATTTACTCCCTTCCTTTTCGTCTCCCATGTTGAAGGCCACGAGGTCCTCTCCTAGAC